GGTTGAATGCTACCATCGAAGGTTACCTTCCTTATGACGAAGACGTTACATTTCCGATGTTTTTCCGGTTTGAGTTGCGTAACAAGAATTCACAGCTAATTCATTCACAGGCTTTTTGGTTACGATCAAGGTGTTATGTAAGTTTGCATTTCAAAAAAATTCCAATTCGCGATGGGCGAAATAAATGGCACATCAAGTTGACATCTCAAGTATATAAGCCTCAAGGACCATTTGATGATTAAATCTGATATGGTATTTTGTAGAGTATGCTTGGTCTTAAATTCAATATTGGTGTGCGGTTTATTTCGTCCATAATTTGCAATCTGACAAAAGCCCCAAGTAATTGAGCTAATACTTCAACAGGGGAGGGTTGTTAACTCTCCCATCTTTCGTAAAAACATTTCCGGAAATCGACACCGTTAATAATCATTCATATCGGACGGCTCTTGATCAAGGTTTAGTAGTGGCCTCTTACAATCTAGGTTGTTTTGGTGGTGCCGTTATTACTATCTTTCTTGGAGATCGTCTTGGTCGTCGTCGGATGATATTTCTTGGTTCCTCAATCATGATTGTTGGAGCTATACTTCAGGCAACTTCCTCTAGTATTGCACAATTCATTGTTGGGCGAGTGCTTACCGGTTTTGGAAACGGTATGAATACAAGTACAGTCCCTACATGGGCTTCAGAAACGTCGGAATCACACGAAAGAGGAAAAATGGTCATGTTCCAGGGTGCTATGATCACAGGAGGTATTGCTTTATCGTATTGGCTCGACTTGGGAACATCACGGGCGGGAGATAATAGTGTGGCTTGGAGATTTCCAATTGCTTTCCAGATTTTACCAGCTCTCATAATACTCGTGTCTATCCTTGAGCTTCCAGAGTCCCCTCGGTATGTATCTACTCCTATGTTTGGCCTTATTCGATCTAATGAATCTTTTAGTTGGCTCGTCCTAAAAGGTGATATTGAGGAGGCTAGAGCTGTCCTTACAGCACTCGAGGTTCCTTCCAAAGAATCTAGCGACTCCCCAGAGCAAGTCGACGAAGCGGCTGTTGAAATCCAAATCGCACAGAGAGTTGAAATCAAATTGAAGGAGATTACTAGTCAAATTGACGAAGCGGCAAATTCTGGTTGGCGTGATATGTTCACCATGGGCCCAGACCGTAACTTCCATCGCGTCCTACTCGCATACTTCGTCCAAGTCATGCAACAAATCTCTGGTATCAATGTCATCACCTATTATGCGGCTACAATTTTCGAGCAGTATATCCATTTGAGTAGCGAAACTTCCCGTTATCTCGCAGCTGGAAACGGCACGGCATATTTTGCTGCTTCCTTCATTGCTCCCTTTACAATCGAAAAGTTTGGTCGTCGCAAGTCTTTACTACTTGGTTCAATTGGATTGATAGCAAGTATGGTCATCCTCGCTGTCATGACACGCTTGTCAGAAGAGGGTATTGGTGGTAAAAAACCGGGAATTGTCTCCACCACTTTCCTCTTCGTCTTTAACACCTTCTTCGCAATTGGATGGCTCGCAATTCCTTGGCTATACCCAGCTGAGATTGTTCCCCTCAAAATTCGTGCACCAGCTAATGGTTTATCCACATCTGCAAATTGGATTTTCAACTTCATGGTTGTGATGATCACACCAGTTGCATTCAATTCGATTGGTTATAAAACCTACATTATTTTCGCTGTCATCAATGCTGCCATGTTTCCAGCCGTCTATTTCTTTTATCCAGAGACTGCGTTTCGATCTCTGGAGGAAATGGACACGATATTTCAGAACACGACTGGTTTCTTTGATGCAGTTAGCGTTGCAAAGAATCAACCGCATAGATATGGAGCTGATGGAAAGTTGTTGATTGCTCCCGAGATCATAGAAGAAATGTCGGGTGGGGGAGTACTTGTACATAACGATTTTGGAAAAGAAAGTGAAAATGGGACAATAGTCCATAGGGAGAATGTTGCAGATGATAGTGGAGGAAGTACGACAAGCCCAAAGAATGAGCATGGGGTTGATCTCAGGTAGTTTGTAATTCTGGTGGCTGGATTGTAAAGTCAAGAGGCAAAGGTGGCTTTCTTTATATACCCAGTGTTTACAGTCACCGGTGGTTTAACGTCTAGAGCTATATTCTTTCTATTACCAGCTCTTTATTTGGATACCTAACGATTTAAGACTTGTTGGAAAATAGTGATAGCGTTTAGAGTACCCGACTTTCGTTGAAGCTTTCGTGCATATGCTTATGATTGATCGAAATTATACGGTCTTATATTCCTTCTATTATTGACCGCGAAACGGAAATTCACTTGCTACCTGATCAAGAACCCCGATTTGACTATCATCGGTACAGTACAGTATTGTAATTGAAATCTCTATATTTTCCCTCATAGCCAAGTCCCATAAAATAATCACTCACCAGCTCCGTACTCAAAGCTCGATTGCTTCAAAATTCAAATTGCTAGAAACGTCTTCTCAGATAATGATTTGAGGACCACACCTATATAATCACAGATGTACTATTCTGATAACGATACAAATGAATAGTCGATTGAATTATTGCATTCCGAGGACGGTGAGCTATAGTTGTAAGCTGTCTAATTATGATAATCCCGTTTCTGCATGTAAAAGAGACTTTGAGATGAATAATAGTACCCGTCATAGGTACTCTTTTCGATAATTGATAACAGATCGAATGATCGGGATTTAGAAATGAAGATTGGAAAGGGGTTTTTAGATGCTGCTGAATTATTACTTACAGTATATACGAAAATTAGAAGGGTAAAACCATACCTACTGATATTAATGTTTTCAATGTAAAGGTATTTCTGTCTATAATTCAGTTCTGATACATTACTTGCCTCGGAATTCTCGAATTATGTTGTTCCCAAGACGGCCCCGCCCCACCATTACGCTATCCGAGGATCACCCGTCGTGTACCCCGCCCGTTTGCTTTGCTCTACATATACCAACAAAACCGTCCTTCTTCCATCAAATACAATAGGTGGTGTGGTGTAATGGTAGCACGTGACGTTGTGGCTCATCCTTCATCGGATATCTCACGAATGATCCGTTTCAATCTGGGTTCGATTCCCAGCACCGCCAAACTAGCATAGTTTGGATTGAAAATTAATAAGATGGTTTGATTCCATTTGATTCCCACTCTTTTTGCAATTTTTTTGTTGCTTTTTGTTGTGTGGTGTGGTGGTGGGGTTGGTGGGGTAGATGGGGTAAGCGAGAAGGTGTGTTTTTTTGGGTGCTGGTGGGTGGAAGGAAGGAACTACACGAGTGAAAAGATTGATGGTGGATGATTGGAATTTGATTAAATTGATAAGATGACGATACATTGTGGATTTGATGGTTGATTGTAATCGATTTTAATCTGAACAATTACTTCTCGGAAAGAAGATCACAATAAAATGACGAAAATGGTATTTCAAGATGTTTGTTCATATGAAGATCTATATTTAGTATGTGAGGGGAGGGGGCTTATCATTCATTCTTGGCGGTGCTGGGAACCGAACACAGATTGATATTGTTTTTGGAGTTCAAATTGTAATGAGTGTTCATCTATAATCTGGATTTCTTGAATAGGTATAAATTGATATTAATTGGTATGATAGAATATTGATTCGAAATTTGGATCTGCTAACCATTTTTGGGTCTTGATCTTGGCCCTGCGAAATCGGATATTCCTGTTCCTGTTACAGACTAGATGTAAGTTTGAGTTTAACATATCAGATCATAGCTATCAGATCATGGCATGGCTCGCATGGCTAGGCTAGCTAGTCATGTCATGTGATCATTGTCGAAACGTGGATAAATACACACCCTCGGCACCCCCCATGATTGCTAACTGGAACTTCGTAGATTCAATCATCTCAGGGATTCGTTTGATGTCCGGAATATCCTCACAGAATGGAGAAGGGCAAACGGCAAACGGATTTTATCCATGATCTTATTGATTAGATGGCGGTCACACCATGGCGATGGAACTTTCCCATTGACTTGGTATCCTGAAATTAAATGAGTGTAGAAACTGGAGCTTACTGATTGATAATAAGGGTTCTCAAGGTTGGCATGGGATGACGGGACGTTTAGCGATCGCAACTCGAGTACGCTTCGAGTTAGCTCCCCCCCCTCAAGCCTTGATGCATAATAACCTTAAATACAAAAGTAATTAGAATTGGATTTAGGAAACATCGATTTTCGCATGGGCATTCTTTTTTGAGTGTTTGTAGTCAGTTATTAACCTCGTACGCTCAGAACGCCTCAAAAGTATAAACAACCACCCAGGTGTATTCGAGAATATTGCTGAGTTCGTCCAGAGTTACAAGGTTATGAAAGTCAAATAGATGAGATGAGGGGACGGACCAAAAATATTCGAGGATCTTACATGATCATCGGATGTTTGCGAAGGTCAATTGAGATGAATACACGATTGCGAATATGCTCTACCATGGATGACTATGCAAACAATCTTCTCGCCAAGGAAATCTGGAGCACTCCTTTGTCGCCATTTTCCTCCTTCTATGGGCTGATGTTTATGAATTGGAATATGCATTGGATTTTTAAGCAGTGAATTGAGTGACATAGCCAAGCGTTTCTGGAGAAATATACTCACCATCAAGAGTTTGAAAAAAGTCAATTATATTGTTTGCGGTGGACAAAGTGACTATCCGCGGAGTGCGTGGCCTTTGGAAATCCTTTCTTCTCGTGTCGAGGTAATGCTTTACGGCATGGAGATAATGGAGGGGATAATTTCCGACTCTTGATGGGATTCTGGACAACATGATTAGGAAGGTCAATAGTATATAAGGACGTTGAAAGTCTCGAGGTATTCTAATATCATCAACTCATCTACTCATCTACTCATCCATTCATTACTCATTCACTGAATCAATTCACTCGCTTCACAACACAGCTTACACTCAAGCAAATCTATCACCAACGTTCCTTCTCTAAAGTTATATCAATAACTTCATTTCAATCAATCATCATGGTTTCATTCAAGACCCTCGCTATCCTTATGCTCTCTGTTATCGCAGTTGATGCCGCTGGAGTCATTGGCAAAGCTGAAGGTTTCGCTGCTTCAGCCACTGGAGGTGGATCTGCTGTTGCTGCATCCCCAAAGGACATCAACGAGCTTGTTACTTGGCTCTCTGATAATGTTTCCCGTACCATTGTCCTTGACAAGACCTGGGATTTCACAAACACTATGAGCACAAGAACTGAGAAAGGTTGCACGCCCCTCTCAAACACATGCAGCAATGGTGCCGGACAGGATTCAGTCGATATCAATGGCTGGTGTGAACAGCCTGCAAATGCTGATCAATCTCTACCCAAGCCAATCATCACCTACAATGTCGCCAGTATTCCTCCAAATGCTATCAAGCTCGGTTCCAACAAATCCATTGTTGGAGTTGGGGCTCTTGGAAAGATTAAGGGTAGAGGTTTCTACATTGCAGGTGCTAAGAACATCATTATCCAGAACGTTGAATTCGTCGAGATGAACCCCAAGTACATCTGGGGTGGAGATGCTATCTCGGTTGATGGCACAGATCTTTTGTGGATCGATCACGTCAAGATCTCCAGAATTGGTCGTCAATTCATTACCATGGGTCCAGGTGCTTCCAACCGTGTCTCCATTACCAACTCTGAGTTCGATGGTACTACTCTTTGGTCTGCTAAGTGCAACAACCACCATTACTGGACACTTTACTTCACTGGATCCCAAGATACTGTCACTTTCAAGGGCAACTACATCCACAACACCAGTGGTCGTGGACCCAAGGTTGGAGGCTTGCACTCATCCGTTACACCAAATGTCTTCCTCCAAGCTGCCAACAACTACTGGTCCGATGTCGCAGGAAACGCATTCCAAATCGGCGAAGGAGCAAAGGTCCTTGCTGAGGGCAACATTTTCGAGAATGCGCAAACACCCGTCATCTTCGACATTACCAGCAACCCTCTTTGGTCTTCAAGCAGTGGCGTTGCAGGATGTGCTTCGATCCTTGGCCGTAACTGCCAGGCTAACAGCCTTGTCTCATCTGGATCTTTTGCTGGAACGAACACTAATGTTTTGACTGCTGCAAAGGGATTGACTCTTGCTGCTGTTGCTGATGTTGGAACCACCAAGGCCAATGTTCTTAAGAACGCTGGTATTGGAAAGATTTAAGCGATGAGTTGGAGAAGATAGATTGGAGAGGGGGTAGGAGGGGAGAGTGAGATGGAAATGATCTAGGCAACATATGTATACGAGTCTTTGTAACTAGATAGTTTGTTCTTTCTTGAAAAGTAGTTTTGAAATTTAAGTTATAAGTTACATTTTATACTGAGTCTTTAAATAAATTTATAAGTGATTACGAGATGTTTTTTATTAAGATAAGATTTAGTAATAAGAATTCAAATATATAGAAAGTGTATATATATATATATATTTAATTCGAAGATTTGTATTTAGAAATGAGAAAAAAGAATTTATAAATTTTTTGAATAAGTTTTTCCAATGTTTTTTACATAAAAAAATTCAACAAATTTTTCCAATAAGTTTTTCGAATAAGTTTTTCAAATAAGGTTTTCGAGTAAGTTATTTGAATAAGTTTTTTCAACAAATTTTTTTATTTTTTAAAAAAAAGAATAATATTTTATATTCTCTCTTTCTATTATTTCAAAAATATTATAATAATCTTTCAAATAAGAGATCATTTCAGATTTAACTATTATCTTTAAGCTATATTTTAAAGAACTCAGCGCAATAGCTCATAACATCTTTCTAGTTATAAACTAGTAAGCAAGCGAGGGTCCAGAAAGTTATAATTAGTAATATTTGTTGAGGTAAGTCGTTCATCGGAAGCTAGTGTGTGTCAGGGATTGTGTTGGCTGATGTTGGGTCGGTGTAATAAGTGGTGTAATGGTTGGGATAATGATGTGATGGTTGGTGTGATGGTTGGGATAATAATGTGGTGGCTGTCATGGATCTCAGTAGTATGTCCCATCAAGTTTATTCCAAAGGTTATGACCATTGGTGGATTCCTCGAGCTTCAATGACCCAAGGGTTTGGTTCGAGTTGTGGGAGGAGTGACTAGCTGAACACCTGCATGCTTGATTACAATAGTTTGAGGGGGAATGCTATGCACGCGTTCAATCACTCAAATCTCTGCTTTGAGTGGTCAGAGATGAGCGCCTAAGCAGGTTGATCACAATGGCTTGAACTAAATAGATGATTTCTGTCTACTTTAGGCTTACCATACCACAATAAGGTATTATTCTTACCCGGTGAAACCTATATTTCATCCGTCCTAGATAGTTATAAGAGGCAAGGGAAAATTAGTCAATGGTTGAGTGATTCGCACTTAGCACTGGTTTTCTTACTTCCACAACAACACCGCTCAGGCGAACAATACACTACACAATTCCACCTAACTATCACAATCCACTCCTAAGGTCTTCTTCTACAGCAATATGACGAATCAAAACTACTCAGATCCAACTACGGTAAATAGCTCAATGGACTCTAGCAAGACCCAGGTGTGCTTGCCTCGTTGCCGTCTCTTGGATGCTAGATTACTAATAAATACTCTATAGATGCAAGACACGGCAAAGACAGTATCTGCTGATCCAGTTCCCATTTTCGAGAACGCAGTCCACATTGGTGGTTCTACAGCTGGATCCACTGACAAAGCTAAGATGGGCGGTGATGATAACAACGTTACCCAAGTCAACGAAACGTGGAGAGAATGGCCCCCAATCGTATCATTGGAGAAACTCGCGGAAATAATACAGCTCTCACAAAGACGAACCTTAGCACTCCTATCAGATATAGAACGTATATCATCATTGACAGCGACCATGCCCTTAACAATTAGAACAGTCTGGTCTGAGCCAATTTCTATGCTCCAGAATGAGGTACAGCAAGAGCGTGAGGCTATGAAGTCACTTGTCAATCGCGTACTTCAGGAGGTAGATGAAATACGATGTGAAGTTGAGAACTGGCCGGACGATGCGACATCATTGACTACTTGTCAACAGCCTGAGTGAGGCCTTGAGTCCACGCCCAACTTCCGACTTTTCCTCAATACGCAACATCTCTCAACTTGATCATTGACATCTCTGAAGGTTCAACCCATGATGCAATACTCGAGATAGGTAGATTCATACGATCCATGCGTTCTCCACGTATTATGAAATTTCTATACCTCTCCTCTGTCTTTCTGCTTTCTCATTCTGGTGGAATCTTCGAGTCTTTTTTTATCCCTGAAATTTTGCAAGTTGGATTTACGTTTATTGAGCCGCATATTGGAAGGATGAAGTTTGTTTGGATTGATGAAGTGATGTTAACGGGAGAACGAATTGCACAAAAATGTGGTATCCTATCTTGTATATGGCCAATTGAAGTGAGCTGTGAATGTGTCGAAATCAACAACATTCTCTCAAGTTGAGCTGGCGATGAGGTTCGTGTCTCGAACACCCAGGCATTCATCGTCTTAGTGATATATAATTTTCATGATTGATATTCTGAGGTACCAACACCCGTCATGTAAACTGTGCGAAAAATGCAAGTAGTCTTTGTTCATCGTTATGATGACCATGAACGCCCCACAATATATTCACTTGACTCACGTCCATCAACAACAATAACAACCAATCTGTACAATTTCCGCAAAATAGAGAAAAATACCTTCAAATCTTCAAATCTTCAAATTTCTCCATGGGAAGAAAAGAAATCCTAGAAGAACAAACAAGCAAAACCTTACTAACCCCTTAGTTAGCAGGAGAATACCCCCCGCGAGGATATTTTTAATCGTTCGATCTTGGCGTTTTACCACTCTACCACCAGACCGCACCATATGTGATCTGGTTGATGAGTACGATTTAGATTGGTATAAGTCAGAAATGAAATTCGGGGAATGATAGGAATGATTGGATCGGAGAGGAAGGTAGATGTCAGTATGTGCGTTTGCTCACTTGTATAATGTAGCAAGCTACATCTTGCATCATATCATATCACATTTCTTACAATCTCTATAAATCAAAGTCTTTAACATCCGCTTGTTTTGAGAGTGGATGCAAATGTAGGTGGGAAATTAAATAGGGAAGGTTTGCTTTGATGCGGTTTATAGACTATGATACATTCAATATTGATTCAAAAACAATAAATGCTATGTCGAAACATTAAATTTAGAAAAACGCCAAGCACATGCTCGAAATTAGAAGTTGTTCGATATTCAATGCTGGCCAGGTAATAACAATGTGGTCAGTGATGATAGACTTCTAAATAGTTAATTGTATCACCATCCAAAAACTAAAAGAACAAATAGAAATGCCAGCTAGACATTCTTGATGTGAAAAGGTTTCATTCTTTTGCTTGCTTTGTGATGCCGTATGTTTCTACCATAATAGTACAATTTCTCCCAACTCCAGTATTTTCCTGCGGTACCGCGCTGTTCAATAATTTGCATGACCATTACTAGAATTCGACAGTCTCCAGGGAGCCCATTCATCGAACGCATCAATCTGCCCCATATTCTTATTCTGCCGTCCTTTGAATACGAAACAAATCATCCGCATGATGAATATCCTTAATAATGTACGTGCCAGTAATTCAACCCTGAACGCCAAAGTCCATATTATCTCTCCATTTCTCAACTCTAAACATATACCATTATCTGCCTATCTCCTCTCATCCCGATTTCCCCCTGGTGGGGGCATGCCCGGAAACCCTTGACCACCCGGTGGTGGCATTCCTGGGAAGCCTCCTGGTGGGGGAACTGGGAATTGGAAATTAGGTGGCAAGCCGCCTGGAGGAGGAAATGGCATTCCAGCAGGCATTCCAGGCATACCCGGCATACCCGGGAATGGTGGCATAGGTGGTGCACCAGGTTGTCCAGGTAAAGGAGGCATTGGGAAACCTCTTGCGCCTGGCGGAGGGAATGGCATACCACCTGGACCAGATGATGGAGGGAAAGGTGGTGGAACGCCTCCAGGGAAATTGGCTGGTGGGAAAGGCGGGAAAGGTGCCGAAGCTGCTGGATTATGGAGCATAGGATTCGAAGAGGATTGACCTTCGGCGGCATAGGAAGATGTGATGGAGTCGATTACGGATTGGGCTTTTTCGTGACCGATTTCTAGGGTTAGGACAATGGGTTAGCTTACTTATAATTTGGTGATTGTGGAGAGGGAGAGAGATACGTTGATAATAATCGACAACATTGCGCAAGTGGTTACGTCCACTGTTGTGAGCTTTACGCACACTCATCGAGTCGTGAGTGAGGTAGACATCGCAATAATCGCCTTTAAAGATGTGTTAGCAAGCTGTTCGCGAAGATGGAGATGGAGCTCGAATAGTCGCAATTTGCACGGCGTGTTGATTTTAAACTTACAGAAGACTGTGAGGGTAGTTAGCATATAAAACAGAATCGCAAATGTTCAAAAACTTACATTTTGGCATTTTGGCGGTATTAAATATCTCAAGTATTGTTATTGTCGTTGAAATTGAAGGTCCAAAGATACCCAAATCCAAATCTAGAAGTTCAAACTTCAATGACACGTGACTCAAGATTTCACATCCCTGTACCCCGAACCTTACACGTCGTCTAAATCTTTGGATTACCGCGATCTGGTTCTTGAGTTTCGAGAGCTTCATTTACACATATCTTTCGGAGCCCCTTGTTTTCCACTCAATCGATTCGGCTTTACACATCATGGCATACACAAGGTCATTTCTGCAAGCACTTTGCAGTTTCTTTCTGGTACTAGCAGTTGCGGAAGCATTGAAATTCGATATCGACGCTTATCACAAAGGAGACAAGAAGGCAGAGAGATGCATTAGGAATTTTGTGGCTAAGGATACTTTGGTGGTGGTTACTGCTACCATTGATGGTTCAAAGGGGGATGGCATGCAAGTCGATATGCATGTACGTTTTATGCAATTGGTTGAAGGAGGTTTGGACGCATGCTGACATGAAGGATAGATTAAAGATGCTGTTGGAAATGAATACGGAAAACCAAAGGATATTGTAGGCGAAAAGAGAATGGCCTTTACATCTCATGCCGATGCATCATTTGATGTTTGCTTCTACAATTACTTTACAGCCTGTTCGTTCCCGCCCTTTCTTCATTCTCATCGCAGCCAGTACTAATTACATCCAGCAAACCGTGTTAGCAATCCTCGCCGCCACGTTGAACTCGATATTGATATTGGAGCCGATGCCAAAGATTGGTCTGCCGTTCAAGCTACAGAAAAACTCAAGCCAGTCGAAACTGAATTACGGCGCATTGAGGAAATGGTCGCAGAAATCGTTGCGGAAATGGAATACCTTCGACACAGAGAACAGAAATTGAGAGACACAAATGAGAGCACGAATAATAGAGTTAAATGGTTTGCATTTGGAACTATGGGAATGTTGGTATCATTGGGAGCTTGGCAGATTATCTATTTGAGGGCGTATTTCAGGTATGATTTTGTAATTGTCATAGAAAAGTTATTTGATGCTAATAAATGGGGAACAGATCAAAGCATCTTATCTAGATACGAGTACTATGGTTGTTGTGAGAATGGCGGCTTTTGGGTTGAGCTTTTTCAGCAAATAAAACCCCTTGTTTTACTAGAGTGCGAAGACATCTGTGAAATGAAATACGATGATAAAAAAGCTGTCTATATTCTCAGCAAGAAGCTACTCCTAGTACTTGATTCCTGTCGTATTTTTCATTTTGGTTGATTGAGAGAAAGTCCCCAGAAGTTTGGGATTCATATGTCCCATGTCTTACGCAAGTCAACTGCTATATTTTGGGTAGCATCATCATCTCCACGCAGGAGAAGGAGATATAATCGAAATAGTACTGCTTTTCATTTCGTTCATAATATAGTCACAAGTTGTTTGATTGTGTACTTTCTGATCGCTTTTGATTCTGCACCACGAAAAGTGTAGCAGAGGACGCAAGTCTCAAAAGGAAAGTTGGACTTAGGTATCAACAAAGAATCATATAATTTCAACATGCGGTATCAATTCAAATTTGCAATAACATATCACGATTTCTAATTGAATTTATTAATATCAAAGTGTAAAATCGGATCAACTTGAAAATGAGAACCCACGGTTTAGGCCGGCTTATCTTGAAAGGCCATGGTTCCCCGCCTAGTGCAACCACATATTGATTGTTCTATCCGGGTACCGATTCGCTGATAGTTAGACTGAATTATCACTTCTGCGAGTGTATTCTTTTCAGGCAACATGCAGATCTTTTGGGGTAAAAACTTTGGGGTTCCTTCGCAGATCAGATTCTCAGCCTGAGAATGTTGGTCCCATCTTTTCTGCGCCAATTCCAAATCTCTCATATAACCGGAAATCCATGCCGTCTTTTATGCAGGACCAAGGGAAAGTGTTATTTGAGACGGCTGAATACACCTGAAGATCAGCTGGAAATCGTGGAATGCAATGGGACACAATGGGGACTTTTGTGAATCAAGTTAATGTATTACCCATTGAGGATTGTCTATAAGAAGAATGAAAGTTTCCGAGCTTTTGAACTTCATTGCTTCAGCGGCTCCTTCTTCATTGACTTTCTCACATATTTACATACCATTAAGCTATTCAATATGCCACCTCGAACTCCTGCTCAAGTAGTTCAAGACCCCACCAAATGCCTGCTTCATAGATTCATAACCTGCACTCATCACCTGATTTCATTCTCCAGTCTCTTACTCTGATTTGATATTTCATTATTGGTAGTTTTGTTTCGTCGCAAACATCTTCAATTCCATTTTCTTGTGGAAACACTCCTCTTAACAAGCAATTACTGACTGTTCTATCTTGCAGTCCGCTGGAAATCACTTGGAGATCGGCAAACAGTTACACTATATGATGCCGAAGAGGGTAACGAACGGCATTGCGTACAACAATTCGAATTCACAAACCGTTACTGTGGAAACTTCAGATCAACATGTTGCAGGCATCTCGTCGACATTCTCTCAGATGTTCTCTGCAGGAGCTGAAGGTATTGCAACACGTTCAACTCAATGGTCTGTATCCGTTATTCATTCCTATACGCGAACCTAGACTTCGTCCAGGAGCCAGACCAAAATTGTCAATTTGAATATTACTCTAACCGTCAACGCACCCCCAAAGACTAGATACAAGGCTACCTTGCTGGTAACGATAGGCCAGCTTCCTGCTACGGAGTATATAATGACAGCTTAATGTTAATATAAGCAGCCAATTGCCAATTTACAGATCGATTATGTAAATGATAGAACTGAGGAGATCCGATTCAGTCTTGCTGGTAGCTTGATATGCAGAACTTTTATGGAGATGCAGACCACGCCACTCTAAATTACTTTGGCCCTTTAGGCTCTGCTCAAGTGCTTATGCGCAGACGTGGAGACTGAAGGATTAATTGTCTCGTACTTTCATTTTTCATTGCTTGAATAATCTTGATTTTGTTCTCTTTGATGGGGATAGTGAACTGTTGAAGCTGAACCACACTGGGAAAGTTGAACATGTGAAATCACCCATACGCTCAATTAGTTATTCCGTATTTTCTGTAATGAATTTTTTACCGAATAAGTAATGGTTTGTCGTTGTGTGAAATTATATATTCCAGTGACATATTGCATGGCTTTTGCTGGCTTATATGGATGGTAGTTGAAGACCCTCGCCACCAGAAGCTCCATTGGAGATCGTTCTTACAAAGGTCTACCCTCCCCAATTATTCACATTTGATATACCTACGTTACCTCTAGCAACACCAATACCCTCGATTATTGAGCAAGAATATCCTGATATAGATTTCTATCATTCTAGCGCCTCTTTCACATCAAATTCCTAACTCCTCATCTCGATATCTGATATAATGATCCCGAAACTTTCAAGTCCGTATCCGGTGTTCTTTCAATTCATAATAGTCCCCTCTCAATTTACTAATCGCTTCCCATCACGGAATATTCTTTCGCACACACCACTCTATCTCCAAGCCCCCTCAACTCTACTATCACGCAATACTTATACCGACATACACTTCCTCCTGCTCAAGCAAACAGGACGTCGAAAACAAAACCAGGTAGCTCGACGAGGAATAAAACTCAAAGGTCTCATTTACATCCGAAATACAAATAACTAGTCTACCAAACTATGTGGAGAGTTTCGGATCGTTCAAGTTTGGTGTTGAATATATTTGCTGAGATATACGATTAAATACTGATGGTGATGATAAAATAATATTAAAATAAAACAAAATATTCATATATATTCTAATTTATTTAGTATTAATTAATAAACTAAATTTTTTTAAAGAATACCTACCTTATAGGGAATTAGAGCAATTTAGGTCGATTCTATATCGGATATTCAATTGTATTACAACTAAGGAATTCACATTTTGTGATTTTAATTTAGACTATAATTCTTTTAAAGAAATATTTAAACCAGATATAAATTAGATAATTGTAAAACTCTCAACAGTTATAAAAAAATTGTAGAATAGATGTATTGCTTAATAATCTTGAAAGTTGGAAGCTATTCAAAGCTCTAATACTAGAAGTTCAATCAATCATATATATACTCTATATCCCACCCCCTATAGAACTATACTCGATACTATCAAACTAAACTTTAGCTAATTCGAATTATTCTGAATTCAGATTTTCAAAATATATTGAATTTGAAGTTCTATAACAATAGCGAATTCTTTGTATATAAATTTTATATATTTATTAAGGTATTTATTAATATATTTGTTAATATTAATTAGATTGATAAAGGCAAAGGGGATTATGTAAGGATGTGCTTAGATTTAAATCTTAAATCTAAGGTATATTGAATAATCCTTATATTAGCTTTAATTTCTTTAACTATTTGTTGTTTTCAATCATTTATTAGTTTTAACTATACTAATTCATTTCAGAATATTGAAAACTATAGTTTTTATTTAAATCTGATTAGAAACAGATTTAAAATTCTAAATGGATATATAACAGATACACTAATTAAAGCGGTTGTAGATCGGTTCTAAGAACCCCTCATTTCCTATACGATATATATTCTTTTCTTCTTCCGCCTGTACCCACCCCCTGGGTATCAGGGGGGGGTGCAATATTCTTTCCCGTAAACGCAAGCTAGTGTATTCGAATTGTATATATACAACAAATATATTAATATAATTCCCAGTTTTATTAAATTTGATTTATAATTAGAAAAAGGGAGTTGATAAAAATAATATAATAGAATGAGGGTTAGATAAAAATAGGTTTCGAAAATATAATAAAAAAAATCATTTTTATTAATAAAGATTAAAATTAATTAATAGATTCCAAATTTAAATAATAAATCTAATCATTTTCATTAAGCAGATATAAGTTTATATAATATATTCTATTATTAATATTTAAGGAAAATAGATTATTATAATTAAAAAAGGTTATATTTACCTAGAATTAATAAAAATATAAATTAAGGAGAGTGGGTAAAAATAATTAATTTTGTTGTATATATCTAAAGAATTTTTTTATAAATATAAAGAGATAGATAAAAATAATTTATATTATTATATATATATAAAGATAAGATTTTAGAGATAAGGAGAGAAATAGATTAAAATAATTCATTTTGTTATATATCTCTAGGGATAAGTTTTAGAACAAGAGGGGGGGGGTAGATCAAAATTATTTTTTTTATATATCTAGGGCGGTTTAGATATACACCACTAGGTTAAAATAATTTATTTTTATTATATATCTCGGCGTAAGTTTTTATTAAAGGAATCGCAATAACTATATATATTATAATCTACTAAAGAATTAATATTTTGAACATTAAAAAGATTGATATAATTGCTTTCTCATTATTTTATCTCTCCTCAATCTTTACTCTTCAATTTTTAAAACTTTAATATTAATAATAAATATTGTATTTATAATCATTTTTTTTTTAAGTGAATAATTCTAATTATTAAATTTATTACAAGATTAATCTTATCGATATGTTCTTATTTATAAGATCAAAATAAATAGATATTATTATTTATAGTAGATACTCTTTATATTAAAAGCAACTATAATAAGTAAAATTATAAATATATTTACCTTTAAGATTTTCAATTTTATATAATAATTAATAATAAATTATAAGTTTTTGTTTTTATTTATTTCTATTAGTTATATCAGATTTTGAAAATATAACTAGATTTTCTTATATCTTTTTATTACAATATTTCTTTATAAAATATTATTTATTTATTCTTTAATATGATATACACTATCTATTATTACTAATATAAGCTCATTTAAATATCTCTTTTATATTAATATCCTTTCTATCTTTATCAATTTAATTTATAGAATTATTATATTCTATTTATCCTTTATAAATAAATCCAAAAAGAGTATTCAAATTGATTTTTCAAAACAGATTTCTATAAATATTATCAAATTATAAGTATCAATTGCTTATTAAATATCTTTTTCATTTATTCTATATGTATATTAATAAAATATTATTGATTTAGATAGTTAATTTATTCTCTTTATTATAGATATCTATACTCTCTTAAACCGAATTTTTCAATCTAAAAAATAGTGATTTCGCTTAATTTAATTTCAATTTAAATGATATCAATATTTATTATAATAACTGATATAATAGATTAAATCTTAAATTTATTTAAATATTCAAATTTGATAATAGCTATTTCTTTTTCTACTACTATTCTAATTACTATATACTGAAGAAAACAGACTAGACGCATTAGGCGTATTACATAATCATCTTGATTGATATAATCAACTGGATTATACATAGCTTTCAATATAATATATATTACACTTAATCCTAAAACCTTATCTACAATATATATCTTTTCTAATAATCTATACAAAAATTCAAAATACATTCAATATCTTATCTCTATTCTCTTTATAATTAAATCTTTTAATTAAAAATATTCAGAAACTCTTTTTATCTTTAAATTTATTATATAATAATATTTATATAATAATTAATACACCAACATCAAAA